CCAGAATCCAGATTATCTTCAGTATTCTGTCAGTACAGCTCTTTGCAGTTTAAACTCAGTGGTACATAAAGAAGATGATGAATCCAAAATGATGGACACTGTATGATTTGGTTAAGACTGCTGAGGCCAAGTGCTATTTTGTTACAAGAAAGGAAGAACTTGGCTATTTTCTTGACACTTTTATGGGTGCTGCACTTTATTTTTGTTCGGTTTTGATGGGAGGGAAGAAAAGAGTACTGAAACGTTTTGTAAAATTTTTTTTTATGTGCTGCTAGGTTTTTTGTTTTTTTTTCTGAAGAGAAGAGAGTGGTACCATATGTTGTGGGAAGTCAAACTGGACTTTTTTTTTTTTTTTTTGGCTACTAAATTTGCCTTTAATCTTATTGTTCTCAATTTTGGAATCAAAGTAGGAAAATCTGCACAAATGCAATGTTTACAAGAACTGGTTGATTCTAGGAGGCGTCTGCTACAGTCCCTTTTTTATATGGATATGTACTGTCCTATTCTCCAAAAATAATTAAAGATAAAATGTACTTGTATCCTGCTAATTTAGCTGTCAAATTTGGTGTTTCATCATATTAAAAGCAATAAATCAGTAGTGGATAATCTTTACTAAATAAGCTGGGTGGTAAACATTAAAGTCTTTCCCTTTAAAATATTACATTTGTAATTTCGACACCATCAGTTAAATCTTTGAGTATAATATCATTTTTTATACATACTGACTTTACCCCCTATGTATTCTCGAAACTGTATTACTTAGAAGTTAATTTTATCCTGTTGACTTCTTAATATTAAGGATTATAGTAATATAAAAAGTGATAAAGCTAATCTAGATTTTTTTTTTAATAAGATAACTTCAAGCTCACTCTTAATTTCTTTACTTGACATAGTCTGTGATCTCTCAGGGAGCAAGTTTTAAAAGAATACTAATGGCCTATAAGAACAAACAGGAAGAATAATCTGACTTTTAAAATCATGGTTGGTTGGTTCATTCTGATGTAGCCCAAGGACTTTTTTTTTTTTAAAGGCAGGAGAAATCTTGAAGACCTCACTGCCTCGAGCTACCAACTACTTCAAAGAATTTGGTGATCCTTGTCGGTAATGATGGCTTTCACTACATTTGTCCTCTCTGTCCTTAGGTCAGTTCATAGAATGCTTCTGAGCTTTACTACTTCCTGTGTAAGTCACTTCAGATGTGCCAGGGCGTTTGACGATTTGTTTGACTTGGAAGTAGCTGACAGTGCTTGTGCAGTCCTTATTATTGAGGAGGACTCCTCTGCGTGGTGGAGTGTGGGCTCTGGGGTGGGGCCGTGTAGTCTTTGGCTGATCCCACTGAGAGCAGCAGCACGCATCTGGAAGACAGCTGACTGGCATGGGGAGTACACGTCCCAGTTTGAGAAACCAAGTAATGCTAAGGGACCCGTGTGGTGATCAGACCTGTGACCGTGGGCTCATTTGCACCTTGTTTTAGCTGAGGTGATGAGGCACGCGGTACCCATAGAAATGGACTGGAATTACTGAATCACACTTCTGTAACATCACAATCTTCCTGGTTTTCAGAATAAAACGTTTTGTGCTTTTGATATAAATATATACTCTATAATAAAATGTTTGACTAATTTATATGGTAATATTCATCAGCCTGTAATTTTTTTTTAACTAATGACCTAGTTATAGAAGCTTTTTGTTGTTTTCTGTTCTGGAGCAAGTTCTCGTTTTTCCCTTCCTAATAGAGAATGGACCCAGGAGGGATTCACAGAAATGTTACTTTCCATTCCTCAACTCCACCTTTCCCCAGGATTTGCCTGGAATGCATCACCCCGATTGTTTGGGATTTCATTTGCCTTCTTTAAGTTAAAGGAATCCAGGACTGATGGACCGGGAGGAGGTACGTGACGAGCGCACGGAGAGGCTACTCCTGCGGGGCTGTGCCTTCAGCTTTGTTCTCTGAAGCAGGGATTCTGGAAGAGCGGTCTCCGGAGCGGCTCTTGATGATCTTACTCTGAAAGAGAAGTGTTTTGTGTCTTGTATGTAAGTGTGATCGGTTTACTCTGGGAACCCTGAAGGAGTGCCGTAATATGCACTGAAAGACTTCAACTTGTACAGATTTATCTGTACTTTAGTACTGAGAACAGTAAATTGATACTCTTTATTCTTCTTCATTTTGCTGTAGTACCACAATCTACTTTTAAGAAAAATGTCCTCTTTTCTGTTTCTTAAGAAATAATGAGTGTCCTAAGCAAGGGGATAATTCACATTTCAAATTGAACTTGGATGGGCTCTCCAGACAGATGAAATGTCCCAGCAGATGAGTGAAGCAGCTTTGGCATCAAAGGATCCATCAAAGATTTTTGTTTCGTTTGATAAAATTAAGCTTCTGATAAAAAGATTTTTTTTTCTTAATTAAGTTGCTACCACTTCATTTATTGCCTGTTAACTCCGAGTCATTTTATCTATGGTAGTGGAGATAATACGGATTTAAAATTATTTTTAAGAAAAAGAGGGTAACATTCTCATCCAGTTACACAATTAGTAGGCTCTTTCAAATTTTGTGTAATAAGGTCACAGTGTCCTATAACTTCCCTTCAGGAAAATTGGGTGTTCTTTAAGACTAACATTCCTGTTCCTCTTTTAAAAGTGAATTAATGGGGCGCCTGGGTGGCTTAGTCGGTTAAGCGTCCAACTTTCGCTTCAGTCATGATCTCGCGGTTTGTGGGTTCGAGCCCCGCATCGGGCTCTGTGCTGACTGGCAGCTCAGAGTCTGGAGCCTGTTTCAGAGTCTGTGTCTCCCTCTCTCAGTGACCTTCCCCTGCTCAAGCTGTCTCTCTCTCTCTCCCTCCTAGAAATAAATTAAAATATTTAAAAAAAAAAAAAAGGTGAATTAACAGTGGCACCCGGGTGGTTTAGTGGGTGAAGCGTCTGACTCTTGATTTCTGCTCAGGTCATGATCTCACAGTTCCTAGGTTCAAGCCCCGTGTCAGGCTGTTTGCTGACAGTGTGGAGCGTGTAGGGGTTCTCTCTCTCTCTCTGTCTCTCTCTCTCTCTCTCAAAATAAATGAACTTAACCAAAGAACATGAATCTGGTTTGCAAGTGGATTTTCTTGCAGGATGAAAAAATTGTGGGTTTCGGCAAAGGGATCCTGAAGTTAACCTTGGGGTATTTTCAGAGAAAAATAAAAAGATGTCAGTTTACTGTTCTCAAAATCAGTCACATATTTCAGTTCTTAAATTGTGACAGGGATGCACTTGTTAGATTGGAGCTCAGGCTGTTCATTCGATTTTGCCACTGTATCATATGCATTTTAAAAATCCTGAAACTCCTATGTTCGATTTCTTCATCTGTAGTGGACATTTGTTGCCACGTCACAGGTCTCTGAGAAGCAGACTCATTGCAGAAGTATTTGCTTACTTACTCTTAAGCTGATGGGGAGGGGCGTTTACAAAGATGAATAAAATGTTGGTTATGAATTAATTGTTTAGCATCTAACAGTGAAGTCGAAACCATTCTCGTAAGCCTTAAAGAATTAGACTTGAACTTTTCTCTGAGTATGAAAATGAGTAACCTTTCTGAGTAACAAAGATTACTGGATCGTTCACTTGGTTTCTTAAAACAGCATGATTCTTCCTGCTGTTTACTCTCGGAACACCTAGGAGTCCTTTGGTAAAATATGAAACATCACCAAATTGATTTCCTTGGGTAAAATCCTTCCAAAGTATAATTTGGCATGGCAGTTTAACTTTACCCAGTGCTACATATATGGGAAAACGTGATCACTTGTGAGTTTGCAAAACAAAACTATAACAGGGAGAGTGAGGTATGTGCTCTACAAAGCATTTTGGGTCTTACTATGTTTAAAAATTTTTAAACCAGTAACTTCCAAAGTCAAAATCTTGAACTGCAAAGTTAAGAAAGCTATTTATTTTGTCAATGAGAAGACACAACTTCCAAACATGTTTTAAAATACAAATTTATTTTTTTCTTTTAATTTCTGAGAGACAGACAGAGAGACACAGCATGAGCAGGGGAGGGGCATAGAATCCGAAGCAGCTCCAGGCTTTGAGCTGTCAGCACAGAGCTCGACATGGGGCCCAAACACAAGGACTGTGAGATCGACCTGAGCCGAAGTCGGACGCTTAACCAACTGAGCCACCCAAGCGCCCCAAATACAAATTTATTCTTGATTTTGGTTGCAGGCATTAACAGAAATTTAAGGTGTACAGTTACCATGGTTTGTTGTTAACATAGGTCAGTTTTGTCACAAACTGCTGAGTGCCCCAGATATTTTGCTGGAATGCCACTGAAAACACCAGCTGGAAAATTAGCTGTGGGCTGAGGTTTAGTAATTTGAGCCAGTATTTAACCCATTTCAAATGAAAAGTGAGAATATTTGCGGATGGTACTAACTGCCAATTGGCATTTCCACAGCACATTCTACTTCTGAAAGTACCAGAATGCCTGGTACCCAGAAAACAGGGTCGTGGCTTGAGGTACTGGTCTCATCAGCCTTTTAACTGAGGCCCGGGAGCTTCTCCTAGCCATGGCATTCAGCTCTGGACATATTTCCACGTGGGACATAAATCCTAATGATGGTCACTGAGCTTCTCAACAATGACAGTCTTCGTCAGAGCTGTCTATGACATCAACTCAGCATAAAACAAGTTCTTAATAAAGCAAAAAAGTAATAGTGCAAGCATTTCCCAAAGTAGCGGATGTACGTGCAAAACTTCGGTTAAGTGTATTGAGGGTAGGGAGGGAATGGTTACAGGAAGGTCTTACTTTTCCTTGCCATGTTCTTCTACCCCTCTTCTTGAGTTCCGAGTATGCCCAGTGTGCCTGCAATACTATAGCAGGAGATGTAGCTTAACATGAAAGTAGCCTGTCTACGTACTGTTTTAAGACAGTTATTAGAAAGCAGTCACTAACTCAGCAGCCCGGGGACAGCAGGACAGAAGCGTGGGACGGAGTCAGCACTGTGGAATACTAGACACGATACCCACACTTCTAAAATCCAACTTTATTGTAGTACGTTAATACTCGTGTACCTGCTAACCCAGTGACAATTCCTAAGCTTAGTAGTTCACAAGTTTTAGAAAGCACATAATGACATTCAAATAAAGCATTGTAGGAAGTTTCATAAAGAAATGTTTACTGTTCTTTTTAAAAGCCTTGGTCCATTCTGAAAGATCAACATTGAATTTTTAAAAATCAAAAGAAAATAAACCAAGTTTTCCCCTACAAAATAGCCACTTGCTGGCATGTGTATTTTAAGTCCCGCAATAAAACGGGCCAGATGTGCACAGGCAGTCAACAACAGCTTGTTCGAGGACTCGTTTCATTTGATTCAGCACCAGGTGAAACGAGTAAATAGCCACTGAAGACGTAGTTGCGCTTCCCCTCCCCCCTCCCCCATTGCGCCGCTCTTCCCAGCAGGCCACGGGACAGAAGCGTGCACCCTTGCTGCCCCACGAAGAAATCAAATAGTCTTCACTCTTCGATGGCTGCCGTCTCATGGGGCAGCGGGGAAAGCTAGCAGGTGTCCACTTCTTTGATGAGGAGCAAAGACCTTCAGCAAACTCCGTCACCTTCCCGGTCCTTTTCAACCTTTCAGGTAAATCCTTAATCGCTACACCTGATTACTAAGATTGTTCCCTGTGTCAAGGGGCCGCTCCCCAGGCATTCCTGTGTCTACTTCCTGATGACCCCATATGCTTGCTTCACTTAGGCCATGGCTTTGCTCTTCTTTTTGTACTTTAACTGGTTACTCTTCAAGGCAGAGGTTAGTTACATAGTGATCAAAAAGAGAAACTGGCAAGTGGCACATATTTCTTAACCTGAGTAATACCTGAAAACATAAGACTGTAATTACGTTTTCTGTGGACGATTCAACTTCGGCGTTTTTGGAAGAACTTCTAATATCACTTTCTAACATTTTTCCTCAGTACACGTATTCTCAAAAGACAACATGTCATAGTAACATAGTATTTTCCTGTATGCCAGTTTAATACAGTTTTATAGCAGACTGAAAAATCTGAGTAAACTGAAGGCGTGTTTAACAACAAAATAAACACGGGGAAGAACAGCTACACTTGTAAGTTTCCTAGTATAAAGGCAGCAGTGACTTTGCATCCTGAAACTAACGTGCACTTCCAGTTGCTTGTGTCCTGGAATTTGACAGACCTAGTGTCCCAAAACCATGTATCACGATGCCAGTGAGGCCGGTGTTTTTGGCAACAGTCTACGCAAATTTTTCTGATGAGATACTTTCCATAGCGACCCAGAATTTTTTTTTAGCTTTTCCAGAAAAATGAAATTTGTATCACTTCCTCTTCTGAACAAAAGTTCCATTACTAACAATTGCTCTTTTAATTCTCCTTTAGAAGATTTTTCAAAAGTTAAGACGTAGCTGATATTTTTTAGCTGCACGCCCATAGAAGATAAGTGGATAAAGCGCACTGGACGGAAATATGAATCTTCGTCATTGGACATATCCTTAATTTCCAGAGTAAAATCGGTACAACTGAAACTAATGTAATTTCCAAAAAAGTTCCTACATGCCAGGCTCCAGCCGCAGAGCCCCTGCTCATCAGACTGGTTTTATGCCCTTTTCCTCATGGGGTAACGGACGCCTTCTGGTTTACTTGTGGGGCTCTGGTTTGCAGGAAAGCATAGACGTAGGGCCAGATCTTGTTGGTTTCTGTCCCGGAGAATGTTTCCAGCACCCCCTTTTTCCTAAAGATGACAAAAAATACAGGTCTGACTCTTCATAATGAGCTTTTTCAAAGTGATTCCCCACACCCCCTCCATGTTGATTTATTTTGAGAGAGAGAGCAGGGGAGGGGGAGAGACCGGGAGACAGAATCTGAAGCAGGCTCCCACGGAGCTCAAACCCACGACCCATGAGATCATGACCTGAGCAGGAACCAAGAGTCAGGTGCGTAGCTGATTAAGCCACCCAGGTGACCCTCAAAGTGATTCTTAAAAGATGACGATGTGGGGGGCGCCTGGCTGGCTCGGTCGGTAGAAGATACGACTCTTGATCTCAGGGTGGTAAGTTCCAGCCCCTTGAGGGGTAGAGTTTACTTTAAAAAAAAAAGTGGATTTAGGGATCTCAGTAAGTAGTCTGATCAAGAGAGGCATTGGCTTAGCACTGGTTAACCTAGGTTTTAGTTTCAGCTGTGCCCTCTGGCTTCCGGAAATGGTCACTTGAAAAATAGTAATCAGTTATTGAGCATGTGGCTCAGTGTTGTAAATATACTAGCTCGCTTAGCTCAATCCTTTCTAAAGCTCAGATTCCTTTTGTTACTGATACGACACTGTGTTGAGAAAGTACTAGCCCGGATCACCAGACACGGTAGGTTCCCAAACCTGGGGCCTGTAAGATACCCTTCCTTGCCTCTGTCTACTTACCCACTTGCAAAACCGCTTTCCAATACTTGCTTACGCTTCCTTTCTTTTTGCCTAACTTTTTTAGTTCCTCTATGCTATGCTTTCAGCATTTTAGAGGAAATGGTAATAAGTATTTTTATCGAGTTTCCTTTTGTGTCTCTCCATTTTTTCCCCAGGCAGATTTGTCTGGCCTGCCTCCACACCAGCAGCCAGTGTCTGTTTATTCCTCGGGGTAAAAGATCAGAATCTTGGGCTTGCTTTTCAAAACACGGACAGGCTAGCATTCGTCCCCTTGCTCACCCTCCTCCTGCAACCCACCCACACGGCGTCTTCAAGGCTGAGCTCTGCTTGCGGGGGAAACAGGATCCTCACACCTGTGCGACCTTTCACCTGGTTTTCAGAGGCTTCCCTGGGGACTAAAGCATTCCTCTCTTGATACCTCATCCAATTTGTCAGAGTTAAGAGTGATTTGAAGTAATTCCCACTGCTTGGTAAGAAACACCTGCTAAGGAGAGACACTATGCAAATAGTGTATTCTCTGCATAACAGAAGCCCTCCTAAATTCACAGGCATCTGGTCAAGCTTTCAAGAGAACAAGCTTCTTAACTGCAGTGGCTTCGTGAGGAGCCCTCAACTTTAAAATCAAGCCAGTGTTACAAGTGAGTTAATTAGGTAGGGCAAAAGTATAGACACCCATTACAATCCTAAAGCTGTACCTTGGATGGATATTTGCTCTTTTAATTTCTATGTAATAAAACCTGCTTCACCTGTAGGCCTCTGAAGAGCAAGAGCACAGAGCTGTTTGTTAACACAGACCTAGTTACCCTGTAGATGTCCCACTGCTGAAAGAGTTTTAAAACAAATACAACTGTCAGTATTTAAAATATCAATACAGGGGCACCTGGGTGGCTCAGTTAAGCGTCCAACTTCGGCTCAGGTCATGATCTCACGGTTCATGGGCTCGAACCCCGCATCGGGCTCTGTGCTGACAGCTCAGAGCCTGGAGCCTGTTTCATATTCTGTGTCTCCCTCTCTCTCTGCCCCTCCCCCACTCATGCTCTTGAATTCTTGAAAGAGTTCAAGAATAAACATATTTTTAAAAAGTAAAAAATAAAATACCAATGAATATTGATATTCCATATACCACTCTTAGTTTCTGGTTAAGTCCGGCCCTAGTTCTGCGTGCAGGAGTTTAGAAGGAAAAGCTTCATTTAATGTCAAGAGGTAGCAAAAGCTGGAAGCCTAGAAAGACCAGGGTTATCTCCTAAGACGGACGCAGATCATTAGGTTTCCTCTCTGCAGCCTCCCAACCCCGCTTCCCACGTCTGGACAGAAGTACCCCTGCTTCCACGGCATCAGGTGGTCACCTCCATGAACAGCCTCGCAGGGTTCTACTTGCTCGGCAACAATGCCTTCTCCCTGCTGCATACTTTTGAGTGAATGACAAAACCCCTTTTGGGAAACAACACCTTCACCAAACCGGGTCCATGTGATTTGGGCGGACTCTCCGCTTCCCAGCTTCAAGAATGGTCACAATCAGAGACAATCAGTGCCGACCCGAGGGCTTCTGCTGCCAAAGATGCTCTCTTCTCTGCTCAGTAGCTCAGCAGGTAGGAGAGAAGCTGGGGTGTCAGGGGCGGGGGGGCTCACCGGGAGACAGCCCACCTGAGCGCGAAGCAGACGCGGAGCAGCAGAGCTGAGTGTGGCCAAGGCCCGAGTTCGTCGCTGTCTCCACACGGGACCCAGGAACTATCTTTGGACTTTGTAGTTACACTAGATTCCCCTTTCGCTTAAAGCTGGTGTGAATTCGGTTCCTGACTGAGAGCAGCACGCATCACATGGTAACTACGACCCACCTGGCTCTCGGCCTCCCCCACATTCAGCAGCTAGTTTCGTGGGGTCCGGCCTTGATCCGCGCGTACCAACGTCTGGCACGGTGTCAGCAGAGGGACTAACAGCAGCTACCCCCGAGTGACTTATTAGTGCAGGGCTGCTCAATTCCCTCAAGGACCCCATCCAGTAGGGGCTATTGAGGACCGCTCTGCCTTTACACACACGGAGAATGCGTGGCACAAAGGCTGCGTGCTTGCCCAGGGCCACACACACACACAGCTGGTGACCAGCAGAGCCAAGCTCATTATGTGAACCACAGAGTTACAGTAACAGCGACTCCTGAAAGTGCCCTTGTAATCGTGCCCTCCAGAAAGTACTACTAGAATAGTCTGGAGACTGCCGCTTCAGATTTCACCGCATACCGGCCCCATTACACCACCACTAATAAGAGCTAACAATTACCTAGGGCTCCCTATGGGTCAGACACAATCCTAGGAGTTACACACTCTTAACTCACGCTCTCGACCCTCTGTTCTTACCCCCAGTTAAGCAAGAGGTGAAGACCCGGCTAATGAACAGTGAGCTGGGATTTGAACTGAGGCAGCCTGGCCAGAGTCTGCTCCAGCCCAACACCGTGCCGTCTCCACACTGAAGCACTGCTCCGTTAGTGTGTGTGTGAAGGGCAAGGGGACAGGGCCCAGCCTCCGTAAGCAGAGGGAAAGACTGAATCCGGAGACAGAGTCCTAGATTTCTTCAGGAGAGTTCCCACATTTGTTGTGGGATATGAACTTCCTGAAGAGCAGACAGAATTGTTAGAATATAAGCTTTGGAAGACTGTGAGCCCAATGCTGTGGGGACAGGTAGCCGCTTGAGGCCTCTCTGCGTCCTGCAATGGCACAGGCAGTGGGCATTACTCGACTTGCCTCCCCGGCACTCACGGCAGCCGCCCTTCACCTGCCAGCAGGGTGTGGGTGACATCGGTCCACTCCCAACTCCAGGTGGGGACCAACCAGTTTACTCCCAGCCAGGGGTTGGTTCCGGAATGAGCAGCAACCTAAGCCTAAAAGAGTCAGTGCAAGATGCTCCCTGGACACAATGGCTGTGTTCAAACTGGTGCAATCTTCACGACGTGTGGGGCTTTTGTTCATGTGGGGGAAAGCTGACCCCCTCAGGCCTCCATGAAAGAGGACGCCCTGCCTGTTTCCTGGCTACAGTGTGTGACCACGCATGGGGAGTCTAAGGACAAACCTAACAGCCGGCGGAGAGAATGCCAGAATTCTGGTCAAACCTCGTGGTGACTGAAGCCCAACCCACCTCCAGGACTTCTCTGTTACACAAGCCACTACATTTCCTTGACCGTTCAAACCAGTTTGAATAGGATCTTCTGTGTGTTAGCATTTCAGCTGTAAAGCATGGATAACTGACTTCGCATTTCATCACGTAAGAGAAGTTCTGAAAAGCAACAGACTCACTGGTAATATTCCAGGACTGGCTGTGTTTGGATTTCATACGCCTTCAGTCTCTTGACAACCGTCTCTGGCTTATCATCCTCACGCTGAATGAGAGGCTCTCCGGTCAGGTCATCAATGCCCTATGTAAGAGTTGGGAGAGGCTAGTACCAAACATATCAGTTTTAATGAGTATTTTTATAAGCAGGTAAGTGGTTCTTAGACATCTGTATGCAAGTACCAAGCACAAAAGTGTGCTTTTCAATAAACAGAAGCAAATCCAAACATAGATCATTTTGGAACACAGGTCCTTGAGAACCCAGGATCATCTCCTGAAATCAGTCCTCAGAGTAAAAGGTTTTCTGAGCAGCCTCTAAATAATTTCATACGTAGACAGAATGAGTCAGCTGCAGACTGGGACTCTCAACTGCAATCCATCAAGAAGTCAAGGGGTCACTAGTCCTTATTACCCCAGCTCCTAACACACTGCCTAGCACACAGCAGGAAATCTGTAAACACTTGTGAATGAGGACCAAGCCCCCACTGCTCCTGGGGATTCCGTTACCAATGGGCTGAGTGGACTGGACTCGTCCACTGCACCAAGGGACCCCACAACATCCCCCGCCCCCCGGGACTCAGGAGCTTTGGTCAGACATCACAAAACTTCATCTGTCGGGGGAGGGCATTAAGGAGGGCACTTGCTGGGATGAGCACTGGGTTTTGTATGTGACTGATGAATCACTGTTCTACTTCTGAAACCAATACTCACTATATGTTAACTAGCTTGGATTTAAATAACATTTTTTAAAAACAAATAAAATACAAAATAAAAAAATAAAAAAAAAATAAAAAAAAAAAAAAAACTTCATCTGTGAGGGCAAGAGGAGGCAGACACCCGTCTGCCCCGCGAGAGGCCAGGCCAGTGCCACCACAGCTACTAACCACAGTTTTGGGAGGGTTGAATTCAATGTTGTAGACGCGGCCGCTGGCGGGATGAATCCAGCGAGCCGTGAGCCGTTGCTTAATGACCTCAAAGGGCACGTTCAGATTGATCACTGTGTCTATCTGATAGGCTCTGTCCAGGGCTTCTGCCTGTGGAAGTGTCCTTGGAAAACCTTTACAAATTCAACAGCAACAAAAGAATAGGGGGAGTAGGGGAGTGGGGGGAAGAAGGGAGAGGATTAATTGATGTTGAACAATCTGAAAAAAAGCCAATAGTACCAGACAGGTTGATCACAGCTGTAGGGCAATTATGATGGCTGACTGTGTGTCACCTTGCCTGGGCCACCGTGTGCCCGGGTACTCGGGCAAACAGTCCTGTGGGTGTGTGGGAGGGGCTGTGCCTGGATAAGAGGAACTGAGTGAAGCTGACCTTCCCCCTGATGTGGGTGGGCCTCATCTAAGCCGCTCAAGGCCTAAACCAAAAAGGCTGACTCTCCCCACAAATAAGGGGAAATTCCTCCTGCCCGGCTGGCCTGGGGTTGAGACTAAGACCCTGGTTTTTTCCCACCTTCAACTCGGACTGAGGCCAGCTTCTCCTGGGAGCCAGTCCTTCACACTGGGGCCAGATCACCCGTCGGCTCCCTTGGGTCTCTGCACGCTCACCCTGCAGATCGTAGGACTCATGGGCCGCCATCATCGTGTGAACCGATTCCTCAAAATAAATACCTCTCTCTCTGCCCCCCAAAACTGAGTATCAACCTGTCCTCCAGGGTTCCACACACCCCTGGCTGGGGAAGGTTCACAGCTGGCCTGTGAATTACTCTCCACGCTTCCTTCTCCCTTTTCTCGTGACCCTCCCTCATCATACATAGGATGTTCTCGAAGGAGGAGGAATGAACTGGTCACATCTGAAAGGAGCACAGAAATCGCGTAGTCCACTGACTTTCCCTTCAGATGAAGAAACAGGTCCAGAGGGCAGGACTGGCCCAACGCCTCAGGGCGGTGATGGCAGCATTCAGGGCCCCTGCCCGCCACATGTGCGCCTGCAGCCGCGCCATACTCCTTCTCTGCCCACGCTCCTCATTCCGGACAGCTGAAGTGCGCCCAACGCCACTTACCATCCAACAGCCAGCTGCACTGGGTGAGGTTTTTCAGCTCGTGCAGAGCCAGCCGCGTCATGACGTCATCTGGGATGAGCTTCCCTTGGTCGATGAAAGTCTTGGCTAACACACCAATTTCTACAGCAGAAGAGGGAGACAAAAAGTATCAGCAAGTGTATTTGTTTTCTCCCATTCAAGGCCCCTAGGAAACCGCCACGGAGGCGGGACCTCTGCGTAGCACACCCATGTGAAAATGTGCATTGTCCATAGAAGTTACAAAACAATCACCTATTTCAAAGTCTGTATTGTATAAAAGTATGTAAATGCAAATGCATTTATAAAAATAAATATATAAAAATATATAAATGCAAATGCATAGACAGAAAAAAATAATGGAAAGCTACAGACAAGTTGTTAATAGTAGTCATCTCGGGAACGCCTCGGTGCTTCAGGTGACTGAGCATCTGACATCGGCTCAGGTCTTGATCTCATGGTTTATGAGTTCGAGCCCCGTGTCAGGTTCTCTGCTGTCAGCACAGAGCCCACTTCAGATCCTCTGTCCCCCTCGCTGCCTCTCCTCCCAAAAGATAAATATTTAAAAAATAGTAGTCACCCGTGTGATATAAGTGATTTTTTTTACATATTTGCACTATTATGTATTTTATAAATTTTCTACCAGAAAAAAAATACAGAATAATAGAAATAATTTTCTTTTTCTTTTTTTTTTTAAGTTTATTTATTGTGAGAGAAAGAGTGAGAGCACATGCACGCATGAGTGGTGGGGGGCAGAGGGAGAATCCCAAGCAAGCTCCCTGTTCAGTGTGGAGCCCAGTGGGGACTCAATCTAATGACTGTGAGATCATGACTGAGCTGAAAGCAGGAGCCACCCAGGTGCCCCTGAAATGATTTTCTTTTTATTTTTTTAAATTAATTCATTGATTTTAATTTTTTTTAATGTTTGTTTTTGAGAGATAGAGAGCACAAGCGGGAGACGGGCAGAGAGAAGGGAACAGAAGGTCTGAAACAGGCTCTAATGAGCCTGACGTGGGGCTCAAACTCACAAATCATGAGATCATAAACTGAGCCAAAGTCGAATGCTTAACTGACTGAGCCACCCAGGCGCCCCCAATTTATTTTTTTTAAGTTAATTTATTTATTTTGAAAGAGAGACACAGTGTGAGCAGGGGCGGGGCAGCGAGAGAAGCAGGGAGGGAGACGGAGAGAATCCTAAGCAAGTTCTGTGCTGTCAGCTTGCAGCCCAACTGGGTTCTTGATCCCGTGAACCATGAGATCATGACGAGAGCCGCAGTCAACAAACACGTAACCAACTGAGCCACCAAGTGTCCCAGAAATGATCTGCTTTTTAAATAAGAACTTGAAATAGTCATTATTTGTAAACGGCTCACTTTAGGTCCTTCTATCGTGCTATTAATGATAACATCCTGTAAAACAGACGCTACTGTCACAATTCAACTTTTGCTACATTAGCACAGGGTTCTTGTTACATTTTATTAAACACCCTGGAAAAGAATTATGAACGGTTTAAATGGATTGCCCATAATTCTATGTTACTCTTATGCAACTATATTTTAATTTCTTCATCGTCTCTCACCAAGCTATACTGTATACATTCAGAATTATAATACCACTGCAATCTGTGTATGTGTATGTGTGTGTGTGTGTATATATATATATATATATAAAATTGTTTTGTTTTAACGTAAGCTCTACACCCAACGTGTGGTGTTGATCTCTCATGACCCTGAGAGATCAAGAGTTGCGTGCGCTACTGACTGAGCCAGCCAAGTGTCCCTGTGCATGCATAGTTTTGTGTTCTTCTTCCATAACATAACATTATTTTGTAAATATTTTTCAGTGATTTTACATGGTCATTTTTGGTTAACTACATCAACATATATCCAAATTTGATATATAAAGACACTCCACTATCATATATCCAAGTTTTATATATATATATATATATGTATGTATGCATGTGTGTATATATGTATGTGTAGGTGTGTATATATGTATGTATATGTGTGTATATACGTATGTATATGTGTGTATATTTGTATGTATGTATATGTGTGAATATATGGATATATGTATGTATATGTGTGTATGTACACGTGTGTATATGTGTATGTATATGTGTGTGTATGTATGTATATATGTGTGTGTATGAAATTATTACAGCAAGACTGGCGGACATTTAAATGATCTAAATTGGTCTTGGTTTTGCCCTAATACTGCTGCTTCTGAAGATCTTAACACCCCTTCTTTTTTTCTTTTTCTGTTTTTTGAATTATTTCTGAAGGATAAATTCCTAGGAGTCAGATTAAAAGGTCAAAGGATAGGACTGTTTCCATAGTTCTTGGTATAAACTGCCACACTGACTTCAGAACAGATTCCAAATTGTCATATTCATGGACCTTTGGGTTTTAACTGAGCACATCAACGGCAAGGAAATGACAGGTCCCAGGGTTTATCAACCGCCTCGGCCACTCATGCTCCATCTGTCTCAAAAATTAATAAACGTTAAAAAATTTATTTAATAACAAAATAAAATAAAATAAAAATAAAAAACTTAGCAGTGCATTTTAATTATATATTTTTTTAATTTTTTTATAGTTTATTTATTTTTGAGACAGAGAGAGACAGGGGATGAGTGGGGGAGGGATAGAGAGAGAGAGATTCACAGGATCCGAAGCAGGCTCCAGGCACCGAGCTGTCAGCACAGAGCCCGACGCGGGGCTTGAACCTACAAACTGCGAGATCATGACCTGAGCTGAAGTCAGACACTTAACTGACTGAGCCACCCAGGTGCCTAGCAGTGCATTTTTAAAAAGAAATGTAAACTACTCATCTGAAAACTACAACATTATTGAAAGAAATTAAAGACCACCTAACAGGAGAAACATTCCACATTCAGGGATTAGAAAGGTTAATATTATGATGGAAATAATCTCCAAAAATGACTAACAGATTTAATGCAGTCATATCAAAATCCCAGCTCGTGTCTTTGCAGACACTGAGAAACTGATCCTAAAAATCACATGGAAATGCAAGGGACCCAAAACAGCTGAAACAATCTTAAAAAACAACAAAGTTGGAGGTCGCACACTTTGGATTTCCAAACAGCAATTAAGACTGTGTGGTCCTGGCATAACAACAGACATATACATTAATGCAACAGAAATAACCCCTTACATTTATGATCAATTGGTTTTTGACTACGATACCAAGACAGTTCGATGAAGGGAAGAAGAGTCCTTCCAAATGAATATCCAGGCACCAAAGAATAAAGTTGGAACTCTACCTCACACTGAAATTTGGTAGCAATCACAGACCTAAAGCCAAGAGCTACAACTACAAGACTCTTAAAAGAAAACATGGGCATAAATCCTCATGACTTTTCATTAGGGAATGGTTTTTAATTGTTTTAATGTTGGTTTATTTTTTAGAGAGAAAAAGAGCATGAGTGGGGGGAGGGGCACAGAGAAAGGGAGACACAATCTAAAGCAGGCTCCAGGGTCCCAGGTGTCAGCACAGAGCCCAATGGAGGGGGGGGTGTGTCCAAACTCAAGAACCGTGAGATTCTTCGGCTCAGGATGCGATCTCACGGTTCATGAGTTTGAGCCTAGCATCGGGCTCACTGCTGGCAGCGCAGAACCTGCTCTGGATCCTCTGTCCCCCTCTCTTTCTGCCCCTCCCCAGCTTGTACTCTCTCCCTCTCTCAAAAAACAAAACAAAAACACAAGTTTTTTTTTAAATATATATATGCCAAGGACAGGGCTACAGCTGATTAACACTATTCCCACCAAAATTGCTCTTAGCATTGTGATATAATAAAGTACATAAAAACATGTTGAAACAAAAAATAGGGGCGCCTGGTTGGCTCAGTCGGTTAAGCGTCCGACTTCGGCTCAGGTCATGATCTTGAAGAGCCAAAAATTAAGTCCTCCATTAAGAGAAAACACCGGGCTGCACGTAGCCCCAGTCCCGGTTCCAGGAAAAGCCTGAGATTGTTCAAGGCTAAAGCCATCCTCAGACAGCCCTCAGATCAGCTAATCAAAAAGAAAAAGGAAACACTCCTATGGTCTGAGTCAAGGCTGGGAACTGCAGATACAAACTAGCCAATTTCTCACCGCTTGCCTGAACCCCGCTTGCCTGAACCCCATGTGGGCCCTTTGAACTCACCTCATAATTGGTCATTTTCAAAGGATTCTCAAAAGTCATGATTGGGTCCCACCAAAAGTAATGAACACCTCACAGACACTGAATGGTCACAGCTGTAATTGTAATTGGTGCTTATGTGATGATGCTACGTGTACTGTAACACCCCCATCCCTTTACTCCTTAAAAACCCTGCTCGCTATTCTTGGCTTCACCTTACTGCTACGACACCGACATCGGTAGGCTGGTCAGCCCCTGCTCGACACTGACACCGGCAGGCTGGTCAGCCCCTGCTCGAGCTTGTAATAAAGACCCTTTTGTATTTGCATCGGTGCCGGCTCCTTAGAGGTCTCTGGGACTCGCGATTCGGGCACAACAATCTCACGGTTTGTGGGTTCGAGCCCCACGTTGGGCTCTGTGCTGACAGCTCAGAGCCTGGAGCCTGCTTCTGATTCTGTGTCTCCCTCTCTCTCTAACCCTCCCCTGCCTGCAGTCTGTCTCTCGATCTCTCAGAAATAGATTTAAAAAAAATAAAAAGCAAAAAAAAAAAAAAAACTAGCAGAATGACAGGGGATGAGTTAAATGATAGCTTTATACCAAATTAAGGGCTTACCAAAAACAAAACAAAACAAAACCCAATTCTCAAATAATAAAGACTCAAGTCAACATGGTAGTTATCTCTGGAAGGCAGGAAGGAGATGTGACTGGGGTCACATGGAGGGTCCCCAAAGTACTGGTTTTCTGCCTGGTGGAAGGTGAAAGGGATCTCATCTTATTTCTCTTCTAACCATACACAGACAGTAAAATATTTTCATGCATGGGTTCCTTCACACGAATTATACTGCAAATAAAAACCTCCCTTGACCTTTGGTCCGCCATCCAACCTTCCTCCAGCGTCTCCTCTTCAGTGAAGAGAAAGGGTTCCTAACCAGCTCTGCGCTCCTCCCCTTCCAGCTCTGCTTCGGGAACCACTCTCAACCCCAAGAACCGTACAAAGGCCCACCCGGGTCTGGCATCCCTTTCTCTCCGCCCCCCCTTCCTCATTTCCACTAGCCCCTCAAATCTCGCCCCGCCTCGCCCCCGCCCCTCCCCCGCCAGGAGCTCCAGACTCTGGGTCCCCCTGGCTTTGCCCAGGTCCCCTTCTGTTCTCTTGCCTGATAAGCTCCTACTCGTCTTTCAAGATACATCTTTCAAGATACACTTGAGCAGCTTGTTCTGCAACTGTTCTGCAAGACAAACGTTTCTAGTAAACTCTGACTTGATAAACGAGCGAGGTCTCGCAATACGAGTATTGGGTGACGCCAAACCTCACATGATCAAACTGAGCCAATGGCTCTTGAAATTCGCTTTGATATACAAGGGCCTTGGATCACAGACATGTTCCTGGAACAAATTATGCTCGCGGACTAAGGTTTGGCTGTACAAACAAATGCAACAGAGAAAAGAGAAAGAAAAAAAGCATACAATTATAGTGGTTTCTGGGCGTTGGAATTAGGAGGATTTTAATTTTCTGTTGTGTATCCTCATGACATGTTTCTCTTCCTTTATAATAAATATACTTCACTTCTAGTTTTGTTTTTTTTTTAAACAGAAGACTACAGCTCATTTTTGGCTCTGATCCTGTGGGAAACAAACCAATCACACAGAGGGGAGGCGGGGGGAGGAGCGAGGGAGGGAGAGGAAGGAGAGAAATACTGGAAGAGAAAACGTTGGGCGCCAGAGGCAAGCTGGTGCTGCTCCCCCCCTCCCCCCTCCCTCCCGCCTCCCTTCCCCCCTGTGGAGCCCGACAGAGGGCAGCAGGCCTGTCCAGGGACCTTAAGGATACACAAAGAGCAATGTTGCTTCTTTTGAAAAAAGTTTACTTAATTGGCTTTAAATTCAATTTTTAAAAAACCTTTTATGTTTTCACAAATTAAGGTGACTTTAACTCTCTGCTGAAGGCGTTCTTTAAGCACATGTTGCACCTCACTGCTCAAGTCCGTTTCTGCGAGCCGGGGAGGGATTCCGCCTTCCCACTTGGATAACCTTCCCTCCACCGTGTATCATTCTGGAGGCTGCTTCTCGTTACCTAACTACTGAAGCATGTTGCATCAAGAACATTTAGCAAGCAGGCCGAGGGATTTAACCTTACTTAGAAGTGTTACCTAACGACAAAACACTTAGAATTTTTTAAAAGACCAATGTTAGAAGAGAAAAATGAAAGCAGTGGTTCGCTAGAAAGGGGCTGAACGCAGAAATCCAGGAGACGAACTAAAAAGACTGAGCTGGTTGTTTTTCTCCCCTTAAGCGTCTGTGTCTGCGTTTCGAAACAGACAAGAACCCCACCTAGAAAAAAGCTAAATGCTCTTCAATAGGGGATTAAACAGACCTTAACAGGTTCATGGATTCTTGAGTTTTGATGCGGAACAAAATCCTAGATATAAAGTGAAAATTCGCTGGTGCAGAATGCAAAACACAGTATGAATGCATATTTCATAAAATATGTATATACACACACCAATATATACACACATACCTATACACACCTATGTGTGTGTCTTGTACACAAATACACATTTCTAAAAGGAAACACAAGATCCTATTTCCCCTGGAAAGAATGGGACTGAGGTAAGAAATAAGACAAGACTTGACTTTTCATTTCATGTGCTTCTGTTGTTTTTCCAAGTCTTCTTTTACCTCTGTAACCATTACTTCTATAATCTTTCAAAAGGAGGTTCAGGGGCATGTGGGGCCCCCAAGTGGCTCAATCGGGTAAGCCTGACTCTTGATTTCGGCTCAGGTCATGATCTCAGGCCCCAGACTCCTCTGAGCTGACAGTGCAGAGCCGGCTTGGGATTCCCTCTCACTCCCAGCCCCTCCCCTGGTCTCCTTACCTCTGCTGTTAAAATACATAAATAACCATTTTAAAAAATAAATGGAGGTTCAAAATGCGTTCGGTTTTGGAAAATAAAGGTCAGCACTTTTGAGGGGGGGAAAAAAACCTCACCCTAGTGTTGACTTTGGAAAAACCCCTTTCCTGGGGCGCCTGGGTGACTCAGTCTGTTCAGCATCTGACTCCTGATCTCAGCTCACGTCTTGATCTCACGGTCCTGAGTCCAAGCCCCGCACTGGGCTCCACCCTGGGTGTGGAGCTGACTTTAAAAAGGTAAGTAAATAAAAATAAAACATAAATACATAAAAGCAGCCGTCTTAAGATAGGACTTGCACTGACATAAATTTCATCCACTGTAGAGAGTTTGTTGACTGGATTTGGTGCTGACTTATCAGAGTTTATCTGGCATGAGAAGCAAAATTTCAGAGAAGTATACACAAGAGTAGCTTTCCTGTCTAAGAAATCTCTGGAGTATCCAAGATCCAAGCCAATTTTTGGGTCTATAACGAGCGTAAAAAAAAAAAAAATACTCGAGTCTTCAGATTATGGAAGAAAGGTCAGAACCAGAAAATCCGAGTGTAACTAGGGAAAAAAAAAGGAAAGGAAAGGAAGAGCAAACCTTCGGGTCAAAGTTCAGATCTCCGGGTGAAAGGGCACGTGGGGCGCAGCCACTGGACCCGAGGGAGCAGCAGCGCCGGAACTGGACGTCCCTCTCCGGCCAAGCCGTTTACTATGATCTTTGAACTTTGAACTCGTCCTGAATCCGGAGTCTCCTTCCCAGTAACCAGGCGGAAGCCGCCCCTGGACCCCGGAGGCTGGAACCTTCGGGGCGCAACGGCTCTGCAGCCCGAGGTCTCCCCTCTGCGCGGCGGGAGGGGGGTCCTGCACGCGCACCCTGGGACCCGCATCCCCGCCCGCGAGTCCCGAGCCCGGCGCCCCGGCCCGGGCTCCCACCTGTGCCCCGAAGCATGTTGTCTCGGAGCAGGTCCCCGCTGGAGAGGTGCTTCAGCGCGAAGTGCTTGGTGATGCGCGACGACACGGTGCCCTTGCCCGAGCCCGGCGCCCCCATGATGACCGCGCGCAGCAGCCGCGCCGACGCGCCCATGTCCGCAGGGAGCGGCCGGGCCGCGCGCTCGCCGAGGTGCGCCGTGCGGGGAAGCCCGGCTGCGGGCGGGCGCGCCGCCCAGGCGCTCCCGGAAGTGAGGCGACGGCCACCGCGCCCGCCCCCAGCGCCCGCCCCCGCGCGCCCCGCCCCGCCAGGCCCTCGCCGCGGCCCCCGCGACCCCGCCGGCGCGCCTCCGCCCCCTCCGCGCCGGGGGCCCCGCGCCTCCCCCAGGCCCACCCGGCCCCGCCCCGGCGCTCCCTCGCGCCGCTCCGCACCCCTGCGCCCCGCACCCCGCTCCGGGTCCACCGACTGCCCCCTCCTCCCCGCAGCCCGCACCTCCCTCCCTCCTCTGCTGCCGGGCGATCGCTCCTCCCCTCCCCCACCCCCCGACTTGCTTTAGCGCCGGTTTCTAAGGTACGTTGGTGGGCGTAGAATCACAATGGGTGACTAGGGTCGCTTCCCGCCCCCGCCGCAGGAGGGGACGCCCAGCCGAAGGCGGTGCGGGGCTCCGAGTCAGCCCTGGGGGGGCCTCTGGTCTCCCAGGAGCGCACTTGCACATTCAGGAGTAGCTGCGGTTACTTTTAGCGGAGTCCAGAAGCGCTGGCTCCTGCACAGGCCCCATTATCTGCTTTCGGCAACGCATTGATGCCATAGGTATACCTTCAGTGCCTACTACGCGCCGGATAAGACACTGAGCAGCCTCAGGAATGCGCTGTTGAACAAGACGAAGTATCTGTTCCTTGAAGTTTAAGGTCTAGTGGTGGAGACAGATCATCGCGAGGAAACAAATAAATGAACGAGATAATTTGCGATCAGTGCGATGAACAAAACAGAACGCGTGAAAGCGCGGAGGGAGGCTGTTTTAGATCAGGTGGTCAGTGCTTCAGGAACTGCTGCTTGGAAGAGATGGCGTTTGCTTTGGGTATTGAGCTAGAAGGTGGAGGGAGAGGGCCACGGTTAGGGGGGAAAGCCCTAAAACTTCAAATGTTCCAGGAATAGAAACACAAGACTTTTTTTTTTCTTAGTAATCTCCACACTCACGGTTGGGCTCGAACTCCTGATCCTGAGATCAAGAGTTGCATGCTCTTTGACTGAGTCAGCCAGGAGGCCAAGGCAGACATCTGCGTGCCTGTTTCATCTGTAGCATGGGCGTGGAAGATAGGTATGGGCTGTTAAAATAATGTGTGACCAGTACAGTGCCAGCCACAGGGTAAGTGTATGTGAGCTGGGTGACTGGATTGGGGGGGGAGGGGGGGTGGATTTAACGGTAGAAGACACTGAACTTAGATGGGGCGCCTGGGTGGCTCATTTGGCTAAGCATCCTACTTCAGCTCAGGTCACGATCTCACAGTCCTTGAGTCTGAGCCCCGCATTGGGCTCTGTGCTGACAGCTCAGAGCCTGGAGCCTGCTTTGGATTCTGTCTCTGTCTCTGTCTCTGTCTGTCTCTCTCTCTGCCCCCTCCCTCCCACCCTCCTTCCCCCTCTCACAAATAGACATTTAAAAAAAACAAAGAAATTGAATAGCTTATGATATTCGTGATTAAGAAAGAATGAAAACAGGGGCACCTGTGTGGCTCAGTCGGTTGAGTGTTCACCTTCGGCTCAGGTCATGATCGCACAGTTGCTGAGTTCGAACCCCGCGTCCCGCTCTGTGCTGACAGCTCAGAGCCTGGAGCCCCTTCGGATTCTGTGTCTCCCTCTCTCTCTGCCCCGCTCCCACTCGCACTGTCTCTCTCTCTCTCTCTCAAAAGTAAATAAACATTAAAAAATAAAAAATTTTAAAAAGAATGAAAACAAATGACTTACACATTCAGTGCATGATAGTTAGAAAAAGGCCATCAAAATAAGCCAAGGAAAGCAAAGGAAGGGATTATGTAAGGGAAACGAACATAAACGAAAGGAGTGGAAAACTTGCGAAACTGAACTGACAAAAGAAGGGAAAAGTCTGGGCAAGTCCACCTGAAGGTGTAGAGAAACTCCTAATCTGCAGTGGGGGAACATTGGGGCTTTCAGCTGCAAAAGGGCCCTGAAAGAAAATCTTGAGGGGGTTTGGTTTAGGGGAACAAAAAGGTTTAGACAAACAAAAGAGCGGAAGAACCATCCGGGGAGAAAAAAAGCGGAGTGTTGTGGTCACGTCAACAGGCCCCACAAAGCTGCCAACTAATTGCCGCTTTGCTGGAGTTTGTTGATTACAAATGAGTAAGAAAGTCATTGCCAAACTGGGAAACGTGCCGGCAGCTGGGGCCTAACACGGGTGTTCCCGGGGCCTAGTGCAGGCGGGGCACTGAGTACCTCGGGGGGGGACCCATGTGGACGAGAGGTGTAGGAAGGGCTTGTGGCCGGGGCTGGCCTCCAGGACTCTTGCAGAAGTCAGGGTCCCAAGAAGCCCGGGATGGACCCCTGTGGCGGGAGGCCGGCTGTCACAGTCATCGGACAGCATTACCTGCCCCCCCCCCGGGGGGGGGGGCAGGTGAATTCCTCGGCGCGCAGGGCTGCCCAGGAACAAAGGAAAGGCACAACTGGCCAACTGATGCACATCACAGCCCCGCAGGACCTGAGTCTCCATCAGTTTACTAATATCTTAGTAAATTACAAGAAAAAGGCAATCTTATCAATAGCCTTATCTCCAGAAACTCAGTGTCCTGGAGCCCCTAATATCGCCCTCCCCTCCATAGTGACTGGGGAACGAAGGCAGGAAGGGAACGGCAGGTAAAATTAAATTTCCTTGTAACCTGCAGCCCATTGACAAATCCCGGAGACAAACAGTGTAAGGTTTCTCCGGGAAGCCCCTGCCGTCCTAATCTTAGTCTTACTAGAGGAAGAACAACCTCAGCTTGACCCGAGCAAGGCCTCAGGTGTCCTAGGAGACCTCGTTAGCATAGAAAGTCTCTCTGGAGGCCTCCCGTTTGACTTGACCTCCCCAGCTCCATAGTATATAACCAGTCACTCTGCACAGCCCCAGTGCCGTTCTTTCTGCCCATGAATTCTGTCCCTGTGCCTTTAAAAAACTTCTTTAAAAATAATTTTAACATTCCTTTTAGAGAGACAGAGCACGAGTAGGGGAGGGGCAGAGAGAGAGGGAGACACAGAATCCGAAGCAGGCTCCAGGCTCTGAGCTGTCAGCACAGAGCCCGACGCAGGGCTCGAACTCAGGAGCACTGAGATCAAGACCTGAGCCCAAGTCGGACACTTAACTGACTGAGCCACCCAAGCAACCCAATAAAATAACCTTTTGCACCAAAGAATTTTTTCTTGGCCGTTACCTCCGAACCCGTGTCCGTCCAAAACCTCATCACTGCAACTTGTGGCCACATGGGTGAACGCAGGGGTAGGTGGATAGAGAGTGGACAAAATGTGCGCCCCACCCCCAGCTGCTAACAGAACAGAACTGTCATTCACTGAGATGATTTGGGGAGGATTGTAAGGGAAACAGACGTGGGGGGAGAATATTAGAGTTGTTTGGGGATACATTAAACTGGGAAGCGGTTAGGTGTGCAGATTGTGAGTATGTAATGCAGGCCCAGGCTGGAGATATAAAATTTGGGAATGTTTATTTATTTAAATTTGAGAGAGAGAGAAAGCTTGCAGGGGAAAGGCAGAAAGAGAGAGAGAGAGAGAGAGAGAGAGAGAGTCTCAAGCGGGCTCCACACTCAGCGAGGAGCCTGACATGGGGCTCCATCCCTGGGACTATGACCTGACCTGAAACCAAGAGTCTGACATTTAACTGACTGAGCCACCCAGGCGTCCCAGGAGTCATCATTTAAATTCTCAAGATAGTATAAACTAAGGGAGTGAATTGAGAGGAGAGGAGAGGAGGTCTGAAATCTGAGTTCTGGAGCTCCCCAACTTTCGAGGCTGAGGAGGAAACACAGAGAGAGCCTGAGGGGAAGAGGTAAGTTAGGGTGAATGTGGTGTCAGCTGGAAGGCAGCCAGTTGTGTTTCAAGGAGGGAGTAATTAAATGAGTCAAATTCTGCTGACAGGTAGGACTGACAGGTGCCTGAAAATTATTTCTAATTGCACAAAACAAACCTCCTATGAAATAGATTCGTTTTTATTTACAATGTATAGTTGAAAAAATCTGGGGGTGGTTTTGCCCTCAGATCCCATAGCTATTCAGTAACGGAATTAGTGATTTCAAAAATGCTAGATGAAGTTTCCATAACGCTTTCTGTCCGAGGAAATTTCTGGGAGTAGAATTCAACTTCTCCAGAACAAGAACATCAGTGGAAACAGAAGTAGAAGATCTCAACTAAAGTAGCGTTACGGACCCTACAGAGAAGGAAGAAGTCAGAAAATACAAGGCCATATTTTAAACTTTTTTTTTGATGTTTATTTTTGAGAGACAGAGCAAGAGCGGGGGGCGGGGGGAGCAGAGAGAGAGAGAGAAGGAGACACAGAATCCGTAGCAGGCTCCAGGCTCTGAGCTGTCAGCACAGAGTCCGACACAGGGCTCAAACTCATGAACCATTAGCTTATGACCTGAGTCAAAGGTGAACGCTTAACCGACTGAGCCACCCAGGTGCCCCAAAGTCATATTTTTTTTAAACGCTTCGCAAAAGCAACAGAAGAAGGAACCTTGGAAGATTAAATCAGTGAGAATATTTGGGAAAGCGCTGAGAAGGAAGAAAATGAGGCTAGCCCTTCCAGTCATTAAAACATTATAAGGCCTGTACAATAAGATTATGGTATTGGGGCATGAATACATAGATCAATAAAACAGAGTAGAAAATCCAAAAATAATTACATCTGGAAATTTAATATGTGATGAATGTGGCATCTCCAATCAATGGAGGAAAAAGACTGTCTTCGTAAATAGTATGGGGGCAAATAGATAACCAGACAGTCATATCCGTTTCTCCACACAAGGTGAATTCCAAGTGGGTCAAAGACTTAAAACACTTTTTAAAGAAACAAAGCTATGTAATTACTAGAAGGAAGTAAGAGCAGATTCCTCTGTCATCAAGGAACTGGGGAAACTTCCTTAACACAAAATCCGGAGGCAGTTAAGGAAAAAACTGGAATTTAGACTGTACAGAACAAGAGCAACAATAAAAGTTTTGCATCATCCAAACACATCATAAGCAAAATAAAA